ATGACACTAGTCACTAGAATTTCTTAATCCACTGGTAATGTTGAAATAGGAACTGATGATGGCCAGTGCATTGGGGGAGACAGAGAGCAAGTGACTGAGTGACAAGTCCAGGTCACTCTGGCGACAGGACGATGTGAGCTGGTACTGGAGATGAAAAACTGGATGAAAAGAATGTGTTGCCAGTTAAAGGCAAAAGTCAATCAAAAGAGTTTTGGTTCTAAGAATATTATTTTTTTAGATAATGGTTTGTGAATATGTTGGGCGGATGCTGTCTATTACTGGCTTTGTGGTGTATATTTGTGTAGTATATCTTTTAACTGAATGAGCTCACCAAACCAAATTCCATGCAGCTAGCTGTTACAGCAAGAAAGTACTGACCTTGACCTTGAATTGACCTTGAAGGAGTTGTAAGATGACCAGGGGAAGGGTCATTTAAAACTGGTATTTCCGGAACGAAACACTTAATATACTTGATATTGACCTGAGCAAGATGGCTGCCAAGGAGAACCAGCTGACCTGCTTTTGGAAAAGGCCTATACAGCGAAACAATGAGACACAGGTGAGCTACATCAGGAAAAAAAATATAAATGCCCCTGAAGTGGTGGAATTTGGATTGTTTAAGGACAGAGAGAACGGATTACGGATTGGGATCGGCAAATAATCGGACAAAAGTAACGGAGAAGAACCGTGTGGTGTGAGTAACATCTCGTTTACACTAACTTTCCCCCTGGTGACACCACAGAGTATTGAGTTCTAGATAAAATGTGGCTTCCAAATGTGGCTGTAGGTGGGGGAAAAGGGAGATTGGTTTCCTTTAAACAGAAAGTATAAGAGAACCAAAATATATTGCTCCTTAAGTTATTAAGTGAAGGAGAACTGAATGAGAGGTGATGGAGAACTTGGTTGCTGTCATTTCTTCTTGATTAATAATGGATTAAAAAATCCATTTAACAACACAACAACAGGGAGCATACCCAAGAAGATTTAATACTGTAGAATAATGACAATGCTCAGGTGTGCAGGAATTTGTAAAATCATATGGGTGAGTACAAGGAGTAAACAAGAGCTCTTGTTGAACATCCCTTCATTGGGTATGATGGGAATATAACCTGCATAAATGTATTCATACATTTTCCACAATACATAACATGTATGCATACATATTAATTATTTTCAAATAAAATGTTCACCTTTATTTTTAAATACAGTTCATACTTTATTCAAGCCATGTGGAAGATTTCCTGGTAGAATCTCACCTGCCCTGGGTTTATTCCTAATCCTGGCCGGAGTGCATTTTAAATGACAGACACCTGTTGTATATGTCATTTAAAAAGTAACTGAATGGAGGGAATAACATGATCAGAAATAGCCACTGTGTGAAAGTATTTTGTATAGTTCTAATGCATTTGGAATGGTAACTTCTAAACTCCCTTTTGTGGTAATAACAGAGGGTGAAGAAAACTGTTTTTAGACTATAAAACTTTCTGCTTGGATTCAGAGCACCATGTGGGATACACCTTGTGAGCGTCTTCTTTGGAATTTTACAGAAGAGGCCTTTGTTGTCACTAATTAAAAACTCATTTCAATCCTTCACGGAACTGTGCTGTGACTTCTTGCATCCCTGCACCCTAATATCAAAGTGTGGTTTCAGCCACCTGTCAGGAACAGTTCTTTCCAGACCCTATGCAGACGACACA